GCACAAGACACTGGATACTCGTCCTTTGCCAGATGCTGAAGTACTTTTGTTGCCCAGGAATGCTGTTGGTGTGCCAAGGCCTTCAGTAGACCATCACATTGATTTTGCATGAAAACATAAGAAGAAAGGGGCATATTTTGCCAACAGAAAAATAGTCCTTCCGAAGGGGAATAATTGCTAGCATAGTTGGGCAAATCTTCATGTTGCAAACTTTCTATCTGCTAGCCATGTCTGTAAGTAGATCATGGAAACAAACAAACAAACAAAACCCCCAACACAATATACAGACCAAACTATCAGAGCATTTATCATAGATTAAGAGCTGATGTAATAGGCCACATCTCAGATAGTGGCTCCATCATAGGCAGATCCCAATTATATTTGTGAAAGGTGCAGATTTCCCAATATCTTCTTGACTGGAGAAGTGGAGATGATAGGGGGTGCAATAAAAACAACTGCAACGCCATCCTCTCCACCATGAGAAAGTGAAAAACCCAACAAACCCAAAGCAAAAAGACCCCAACATTCGAACCCCACAAAAAACAAGTTTAGCAGCACAAATGAGCAGGAGAGAGCCTGGAGAAGTATGCCAACCCTTCAGGGTAAGTAAATTAATTGTAAGGAACGGGGTTTTAACACGGCTAAAAGTGCAGCAAGAGGAGTTTGCAGTGTTTCAGAAGGGGCCCCAGGAATCCCAGCGCACAGGAGCCGCAGGGCCGGGCTGGGCTCCTGGCCACTGGGAGAGCCGATGGCTGTTTGTACCCTCCGCTGCTCCCCTTTGGAAATGCTAACTTGGTTATTCAGCGTCTCCTTTGATGTCCTGATAGGTGCTATTAGATAGTCAATTAGGCATCAACGAGATCGATTGTTTGGGAATAGATGCTTTTCTGTTTGAAGTATCCGTGAACACTAACAGTGCCATCACCCCGCCGCTCTTTTGCCCACGGGAACAATGCGGGCTGACACACAATAAATGACAAATGCCACTGACTCAGCCGGCAGCGCTGCACCCTCTTTCCCTCCCGACTCACACGCTGCAAGCCCAGATATTCCCATTCAGCGACTGTGGGAGCAAGCACGCATTTTGCATTAAAAATGATTTATCGGGGAAATATTTTGGTGTGCTTTGCAGAACTAATGGTCGAAGCACCTAGATAAGTTAAGTACTAGCTAGCTCGAGAGAAACTAGTACTTGAATTCTATGCACGCCATGGTCACACTGCCTGAGGACTTGTGACACCTCCACAGTTGTTCAGAATTGCCCAGGCAGAATAACTAAGAGCTGAAATAAGAATTAAAGCACTTAGCCTACCTGAATACAGAAGAGACACTGGGATTAGCTCCCTACTAGGTACTATTAGAGGATAACACTAGGTCGAAGCCTAGGAGTTTTAAGACACAAATATAAAGGAAGAGTAGTAAAATTTACACAGAGAACATGTCGAGACCAAGACGTGTGTCCTCTTTGTTCACCCACTCCACTTCGGTGGGATTTATCAAGTTAACTGTCATCTAATTGAGTATCAAAGAAAGAGATAATGGGCAGCAATTAGATGTAATGGCCTAACAGTGAGAGATCTCTCTCGATTAGCACACAACGCCGAATAACTTCACCCAGTTTGAAAAGAGGTCCCTGGAGTGGCTCCACCATGTCTAGGAGCTACAGGGGGTGATACACCTCCACCCTATTCCCAGTCCCCTGCTGGCTGCTCTGGCCAAATTGGGACGGGCGGTTCGGTTGCTGGCGGCTCCCCCGCCCCGCGGTGTTAATTCAATCAGCTTTCTCCCCCTCCGCGCACGCACTGCAGGGGAGAAGGGCTTTGAAGTCAGCGCTCTGGCAATTTTCCCCTCCCGTCCCCTTTTCCTCCCCGGGGAGTCCAGTTTCCAGATTATACAGCCTCTTCCTCGAGAGCCGCAGGGCCGGGGAGTTCCAACAATTTCACCCCACGAGCATTAAACTACTCCTCCCCAGCTAATCGACTCGGCTTTTCCCCCCACCCCCCCTTTTCCTCCTTCCCATTTGTAGCTGACTGCCCACAGCGCTTTGTGCTGCCGGGGAGCGTTCCGGGGCTGGGTTATTGTGGTGCCATTGAAGACATTAAGGCGGGGGGGCTCTGCCCGGGATGGGCTGCGGGGGCTGCCGGAGCCGGACCGCTCCGATCTCCTGCGAGGGGCTGATACAGTCCAGGGCCTGCACTGACACTGGTGCCCCTTTACTGCTGCCAGGGCTAAAAGTGAAGGAGAAATTCAAACGAGCCGGAGTAAAGCATGAAGTCCGAGTTTCTTTCTCTCGGCTCAAAGGAAAAACGAGCATTCACATTTTAATGCCAGAGTTGGACAGCTTTAGCAAGAATGAAATTACTTTACATAAAGCTTTCTAGACAACTAGAAAGTAGGAATTACCTTCTAGAGAAAACCGATTTTTGCAGATAGGATAGAAATTACGTAGACATTCGGAGGAACATGATAGTATTAGGGACTCAGCCAAGCGAGCATCACCTCTCGTGTTCATTTGCGCAATTACCGGGAAACAGAACAATATTTGCATGCTAGCCCTGCCAAAACACTGGCGAGGTATTTCATGCGCTTGCTGAGTATACCTGTGGCCAAGGAATCGTAATTAAGTCAATGGTTAAGTCACCATTAGCGACCTCTCGAACAGAGATCGGTCTCCGCCTCGCCGGCCGTTCTGTGTGTTCCTAGGCCCAGAGCAGGGATGTCCCGTTACTCCTGCTACCCAGCGCTCGCCCCTGGCACGGAACCCGGCAGCCTCAGCCAGAGCCCGGAGAGCCGCACACACCCACCCGGCTCGCTGAGCCCCCATCCCGAGACCGCCCCGCAGCCCCCGTGTCCCGGCGTGGTCCTCACAAGCCCCGCGGGCTTAAATGACTGCAAGGACGGCACCGCCGAGTGTTGTCCCTTGTCTCTGCTGGCTCTAAGCCTGTGCTCGGAGGGGAAGCTGCTGCCCCACTCCGGGCACGGCTGGGTGCGGTGGAGCAGAGCTGCGGGCAGGGCAGCCGGGGGCCGGCTCCGCGCCGCTCGCCCTTAGGACGGGACGGGCCAGCCCAGCCCGGCGGCTGCAGCCCCGCGTTCCGAGGGGCCGGGAGGGCAGACCCAGGGGATGAGGGCTCATTCAGAGCCGCCCCGGATTGCTTCTCACCGGGGACATGGGGACCCGATAAGGTGTGCTCCTGTTTCTCCCCTTTACCACTGGTGTGAGGGGAAGACGACACCCTCATACCCTGCACAAACTCCGTCCCCGCAGTTCCCCTCCAAAGGAAACAGCTCCTCTCCGCAGGCGGGAGCACTTTGTTATCCCTCTCTCATCCTGAGCCTTCCCACCTGTCTCTCACTTTCCCCGGGCCCAGCTGCGGTGCCCACTTCCCTTTCACCCTCCGCATTTGCTCCGGGGGTGGGACGCTCCCGGAACGCTGCGGGGAGTGCCGGTGTCCTCAGGGTGATCACCCCCGCTCCCCATACCGCCGCTCCGGCTTCTGAGAGCACGAAATGTTATTACCATTATTCCTTTTGTACGGGCTGGACAGAGCATTTGGAGGAGTGGTGAGGCTCTCCTCTGTGGCCATACAAGATTATAAAGGGAACACCTAACCCTTCAACCCTTCTTCAACCATTATTCCCTTGAAAACAGAATAGCCACATGGAGCCTAATGCTTAATACCTTTTTTTTTTAATAATTTACTGGCCTTGACTGTTTTCTTATTTTAACATGACTGCTTTAGAGCAGAGGAAAATATTCATGATTGGAGCTCTTTCTGGAGATATCCCAGTTCCCTAATGATATCTGAAAGAGTCAGAGAGATTTCTTCAAATCAATATTACTGTTTAATGATACCTGACTTGGAGAAATAAGCCTCCATCGAATGGGAACTTTAGTTAAGTGTCAACACATTTCCTTAACCCAGAACTGCATAATGTTCCTGAGATCTCAGCAAGACTGATAGTACCTGAGCCCTTTTTTAATTTAGCTGAAACTCTTGCATTAGAGACACACAATTTGTGCAATTGCAAACAAATACTAATATCTCAAAAGACTACAAAAATACAGCATACACAATAATCAAGGAGACTTCCAGAGGTGACTGCAAAGCCCACTGCCCACAGCAGCACAGGTTGTTTTTTACCAGGCAAGGGTACTCAAGTGGCAGATTGGCCCCTGTATGCAAAAGTTATTCAAGGAGGCCTGACAGAGAACCCTCAGACCATTTATTACAGGAGTATAAACTACCAGTGTGCTAGAAATATAATAACACCCTCCAGATCAACTCTAAAGTGATGGAAATTTTTATTGCTCTTTTCAAGTTAGTTGACAATTGACTTTGAAAGATTTATGTCAACCTACAGTCAAAGATCATTTCTCAGAGCCCTTTTTCTGGCCTGAATCGGGCCATTTTGATCATCCATTTACTAGCTCATTATCCAAATTTTAAAAGTGCATAGCACAGTGCTAAGGAATTTTACTGCCACTTATGGAACACCAGCTTTGGAATGTTAAAATTCTTTTGATCATCACCCTTGTACCCTGATAACTGCATGTGAGATGACTAGACACTGTTTTGCAAGTAAGAAATTTCAAGATCCTTTCCATGATCTGTTTAGGTAAGAGCTTATCTACTGAGGCAGCTCATAAAAACGTGAAGATATAGTATCATACTTATTTAGAAACTAATTTTTTAAATCTTAAAAACATCTGTTCTACTATAGCAAGCCCGGTATTAAGTAACAGGTGTATCCATGCATTTGGCTAAAAGCACAGTTCCAAGACAGAAAATCTCATCTAGTAAGTAACTGAAGGGGTTGGATACCTGCTTTAGAAGACAGAGGGAAAATCATGCTTTTTTGCGCTCACACACAGAGTAAATTGCAAGGGGGGCAGAACAAATCTAGATAAGGAGTTTATGCTTCTTTAAAAGAAGAGGAGCTTTCTTTTGGGGCAGGATGAATACCTCTACAATCCTTGAGAAAGGAATTCACATGAAAGCTGGAAAAAAAATAGGTTTATTCAAATATTCCATTTATATTATTGTTTGTCCCACCCCGTTTATATTTTACAGTAATAATATAAATGTAAGGGCCTCGAGTCCATGATTCAGATTGTCCAGCATATCTTTGTAAATGTTTAGATCGGTGCTGCATCATAACTCCACCAGGCAGTTACGGACGAGGGCGGCCCAGATACCTATCTGTAGTGCAAATCCTCTTTAGTCGGAGTTCGTATCAGTGGGTCAGACACCCAGCAAGAAAGCTCTGGGGTCCCGGTACTCTACAAAGCAGGGTGCTGCCCAGAAGCCAACAGGCTGTGCTCTGCAGGCGCTGCTGAGGTCCAGGGCGGGTGACGGCAGTGCGGCCAGAGGGAAGCCCTCAGGGGCAGCCCCTTGCCGGGGCAGAGGCGGAGGCCGGGCCACGTACGTGAGCGGCAAGGGCACCACAGCGCCCTGAGGTCCGTAAGGGAGAGCGGGGCTGCAGAAGGGCTCCGTCCTCAACTCCTGCAGCTGCCGCTTCAGCTTCATCCGCCGGTTCTGAAACCAGGTCTTGATCTGGGGAGAAGAGTACGGGGAAAAGGAGAAAAGACGAGGTTAACAGCGCTACCCAGGCTTGTTTATGTCGTTATTTGGAAGCGTGGTGTGGCCGTTCAGAGGCCCGGCCCCCCGCTCACCTGCACCTCGGAGAGGCGCATCCTGCCCGCCAGCTGCCGGCGCTCGGCGGCGCCCAGGTACTGCTGGCGCTGGAAGGAGCTCTCCAGGGTGCTGATCTGCTCCGCGCTGAACGCCGTGCGCAGCCGCCGCCCGCCGCGCCCGCACGGCTCCTCGGGGCCCGGCCACTCCGGGCCCTCTTCGGGCACGGGCTGCCCCGCTGGCCTCCCGCCGGCTCCTGGCGACAGGGACAAGGAGGAAAGGGTCAGCAGGGCCCGGGCACCGCGTGGGGAGCCGCCCGCCTCCTCCGCCCCCGAGGCACCGCGCAGGGTGCCCGGCCGTGCCCGGGGATGTCCCAGGCCCGCCCGGAGCCCCGGGCCGTCCCGGTGGTCGCGGTACCTGAGGCGGGAGTGGCCGCCACGCGCTCCCTGCTCCTGCCGCCGCTCCCGTCCCGCGGGCCCGCCGGCTGCTCCTGCCTCCGCTCGCTCCGGCCCGCGGACGATGCTCGCTGTGGAGAGCCCTCGGTGGGGCTCTTGAGAGCTTGGCTGCTCTGGGACAACCATTCCACGGAAAAAGGGGCCTTAGTCATCCTGCCTTGTTTCGGAGATGCCGGGAAGGAGGGTGTCGGGGAGCACGGGCCTCTCCTTTATACCTCAACTCCCGGAGGAAAAGGTTGTTTGTGTAAATACACATCAAAGGGCCAGATAAGTATCATCTAATTGCTATCAGTCCTCCCCCCCCAACAAAAGATATCGTTCACACGTTGCCCCAGCTCGCGGAGGCTCGGCTCCGCCGTGTCTGCCCCTGAGGAGTTCACTCCGCCGTCAGTGATTTACAGCTCTTGTTACATCCTATCCCCATGCAAATGGCATTTATGGAGCTGAGCAGCCTCAAACGGCGCTGGGGAATGTACCCCCGGGGGAGCGCAGCATCCCCGGCCGCTGGAGGGAGAGGGGACGCTGCTGCTTCCGCTCTCCCTTCCCCTGGAGTTGCTTTTCCATTCCTTTTCGAGCACCAGGCCCACTGTTCTTCTCAAGCCTGCTCCTCTCTGGGCTGAGCACTGCGTTCCCGAGGCAGCCTCAGGCAGGCGAGCGGAGAAACCCACCCACCGGGTTCTCCGGGATTGCAGCGTCAGGTTATAAGCACCAGGAACAGGCTGAGGGGTTTGGAGGAGAATGTTGTGAAACAGGAAAAGGTAAATGTCAACGTCATTGGATTCTCCAAATTGACAGGCTTCTGGTCGTTTATATAAAAGTAAGTTCTGGACTAACGAATCAGAAAATTACAATTATTAGCTTAGAATTAACATTCTGCGGAGAGTTCTGCTGAAGTTACAGAACTCGTATCTTTCCTCTCAGATCTCTTGCAGCTATGCAGGTCATCCAGATTTCTCTTCTATCTTACTATCTTTTTCGTCTTACTACCTTATGTGTGTCTTTCAGAAACGTTCCCATTCATCTTTGGGTTTTGTGTGGGACAGGAACACTTGGCTGCTGCAGTAAAGCCTCTGTATATATTGACAAAAGGCTCTTGGTGCTTTATGGGCAGTTTCTCACTGCAGGGTAACCATGAATTCCCTCTCCTTTTCACCCTCCCCTCCTGTGCAAGAACAGAGCGGAACTTCCACTGCATTGATAATTCCTACCACAGCCCTGCTTGGTATCAGCCTGCCTCCAGAGACCACAATTGCACATCCTATTTATCTGTCCTTGCTCTTGCCTGCTGTTTTACACTCACCCACCACCTGCACACAAACCCAGTGCTCTGCTGTCTGTCTACCCTGTGGCTCGGCCAACTCTGCCACTTTGGCTGCATTTCCCAGCATTCACTTTCTCTGTGATAACACTTACTGTAACTGCAGTTCTAACTATTTCTTAGACTGTCAGTCTTAGGCAGAGGTTTGAAGACTGAAAACCCTCACACTTAGTATCTAAATCTTCCAATGTATTAAATTTTCATATTATGCAGATATATTTTTATTTATATTAATCCAGTAAAAATTTTATTAAAATCCTCTTTGTCAATCTTTTCCTAAACCAAACATTTCAACCTCTTGTCCACTGCAAATATAGTTGTTATATCCATTCATCAAGAAATCCTACAGTTTTTGTTCACCAGAAAATTGTTTCATTGAACTATATTCAAATTTGACTTGTGAACCTCTTTTAGGCTCTCTCATTGATTGCTCATTTTCATGGCATAGCGTGAGTCCTACTTTGCTCTACAGTGTCAGTGATGACACTGTTCAAGGGTTTGTCTCTAACCAAACAAAAATACAAACACGATTTTCACCTTTATTTAAAGGTGTCTAATAAGTGATTTAGAACCACAACCGTACATGAGCAGAGCCCTCCTGGAGCCCTTTGTTTCTGGCCTGTGTAGGTAGGGATTGACATTGCAGCCTGAGCCCACTAAACAAGCTTCCTGGAGGAAAAATGGTGTAAAAATGTGTAAACAAACATTCAAGCATGCCTCCCATGTGTTATCTACCTGAAGAAGTCCACAAACACCTCTAGCATGGACAAAGCCTGATGGACACACACACAAGCATACACATATGTATATATATTTGTGGTGCTTTCTCACCAAACAAATGGAATTGTTTGAGATCTAATTATTTGAATCCTCATCCATTTATCCCTCCCAAGCATTTTCTGATTAACAATGAAAAGTCTGGAAAGTCTACTTGACCAGACCGTACAAGATTGCTTTTAAATTTCCTGTTCTGTAACACATACCCCACCGACCCCCTCACCCCACTCCACCTCGGATATTTCAGGTTCTTAACTATTCTTTTCTTTAGATAAATGTGAAGACTTCTCCCACCACAAACCTGAGGATAAATTTTGAAATACCAGAACTTCTGAGCATTAGACAGTTCTGTTTGCAACATATCTCACAGAGCAGACCAAGCAGGCAGGAGATGGAGAGGAGACATACAGAAATGTGCTCTGCCCACTGAATTACTGAAGGACACCGAATTACTGAAGGACAAGTCCCTCAACTCAGCTGCATTTAACACATGGCCTGGCAGCAACCTCTCCAGTCAGAACTGGGAATATCAGTGCCACTGTCTGCTTTCAGAATCCTGCCAAGCCTCCCCTGCAGTCAGGCAAAATGCCATTCTCAAGGACTATTTCTCATGAATGCTAGAAAAAGAAAGTGTAACTTTTCTGCAAAGTTCCTTCTCAGTTTAAATATTTCTGATCACTGTAACACCATTCTGCATCACAGATGGGGCACAGTCCCATCCCAATGAGATAAAAATGTCCCATGTACCCAGAATTATTTCCAGTCTGAGTCCTTACAGAATATTATGTATAAATAAAAGCAATTTACTTATATCCCACTTACATTCTTATATATAACATATATACTTATATATCTCTATACAAATACTTTTTAATAAAGTATAAAAGAGCCTATTTCTATGACAATCCTATTTACAGCCGTATGTCAACAAATAAAGACACTTGGCAAGCTTGTCATATAGGACAAAAAGAATACATGACCTATGATGGAGCTCTAAAAACAGAAAGCATTGAGTTTTATCCACTGATACATCTGCCTTTACTCATTTGAAGACTTTTTACCATCTGAGCTGCAAATTACATCTTTATACACTGCTGGTTTATTAATTGCATTGTATTGAAGCAAATGGCACTGCAGAAAGATGGTGTCAAATACTGACCTCCCAGAGACACAAACTGATCATGGTGTGACTAGATTAAACCAAATCTCATTTCCATTACACATGAAATGTGTAAGTCTCCTGGACAGGTAGCAGATGACTTCTGAATGTAATGACTGCTACAACATTTAACAGTTGCTAATTTAATTTTATCTAAAATTCTTAAGCTGCCTTCCTTCTGTTTCTATCTATTATTCATTAAATGCTTGTTTGAAAATCTCCTGCTAAACTGTGATTCAGAAATACCATGTCTCAAATCAAGTGGTATTACCAACAGAATGAAAACCTGCTCATGCTAATGAAATCTGTCAGAGTAGGGCAGGGACAGATAGCAGCTTTTACTCTGCTGCTTTGGGGTGGGGGCAGAGACAAAGAGCTCAGACATACCAACATGATTGCCACTAGCAGGAGTCTGGAGATCCATTACCATAGATAACGGCGATACTCTGTGCAGATGTTTGCAGAATACACAGCTGCCCTCTTTGGGGAGGCAGCACCCTCCCCTTCAGCTTTGCAGAAATCTTCACACACAACACTGCTCTCATGTTGTGGAGGTTCTGAAGAACTACCTACTTGGCTGCCTGCTAGACAGTTGATAATATTCAGAAATATTGGATATTAGATAATAAATAGAAATATTTTGGGATTACATCCCAGCCTTTTTTGAATTAACTGTGGCTCCACATCTTGCAGCCCACGGCCCAGCTGTGCCCTAGTAAGGCAGCTCAGAGCCCTGCAGAGGGGCAGGATTGTGCCGAGACATCCCCTCGCTAGGGAGCTGTGGAGGAACTGAAGAGAGAGAAGCTGAGGGTGCCCATTCCCTTGGGCTCCCCACAGTGCCAGGGACAGCTGCCACCAGCTGGCCTTGCTGCAGTGGGTGCACAAGACCGAGGGAAGGGACGGTCATTTTGTACCCCATAGCACTGAAGGGTCCTGGGAGACTAGAGTAGAGAGAGTTTGTGGTTCTTGGGAGTAGTCAGGTGGTGATACGACTCAAAGAGTAAAAACCAGGCAGTTTATGCCACAAGGGGCCGTGTGTTCACCGTGGACAAGCAGATTTGCCATGAAGGTCTGTCCAGGGAAGCAAGGGCCGCTGGTATCTGCTATGCAATTTACATGGTCTTTGTCCTGGTGTGTTTATCCAAACATTCAGTTTCTGAGTAATCACTACTTAGGACTTAAAAGCATTACAAATGGCCTCTGATCAATCTCTTAATTATCAATTATTATCATTATCTTCCCTCTTAGACAGAATAAAAGCTACTCTTCCATGAGGCATTTAAAGACCATATGTGCAGAAATACCAGGAGGGCCTGGTATAAACATAGTGACAATGCACAGATGAAAATTAAATGTCTCATCATGTTTGGAATCGATCTAAATCAACACAGCACTCAAAATGCCAAGAGCTCCCATGGCTCCTTAACACAAGGCTGCCACCAGCAGCTAAAAAGAATCAGTGAAATGTTTGAAAAATATATATATTCTGCAGAGACATGCTGCAAATATTAAGAAAGAAAACACTTGTTTTAATAGCTCTTTACCCAAATTTATGCTTATTTTAAAAAAAGTCACATTCAATATGAATCAGGACCACATTTAGAACTTATACTGCTGTTGTTACAGAAGCAAGGTACAGCAGCAGAGTCTTTTGTTTATTTATTTACTTATTACTAGACAAACTATTATAGTTAGAAAACCATCCAAGTTTCAGGAAAGTAAATCCTACTTCAGCACTCATTGCTATCATATTGCCAGAGGGACATCTCTGTGGACACTGCTCAAATGAAACTGCTCAAAAGTCTGTTGTTTGTTTAATTCTGTTTAGACTAGAAATTAGACTTTAAAACCAATCAGACACACTTAGACACCTTGCAATCTTCAAAACCTAACAGAGAGGCTAACTTCACATTTTACATCAACGCCTTTTTCTTTATCAGTCTTTGCTGAAAGATGTATTTTTTTCATGATGATTACTTCTAAAGTTACATTTAGCAACATATAAAAGAATGCATTAAATCAGAATTTTTCCATTACATTCATATTTCCTACAAATACTTCCTAAAGAAAATTAGAAAGAAATGAAAGAAATTATACTGACCAAAGCATTTATTTTTATTGAAAGTAACTTTTCACTTTCAGCTATTAAAGAATGAATAATGTTCCCCCTTGAGTTTAGAGTTAGCATTTGAGCATGATGAGTCAGTCAGCAGGAGAATGAGCTATCACAGCTGGCAGCCCTGGGACATCCATCATGCTCTGTGCCCATCCTGGTCTATGCCATACAATGCTGCTTTGAAATGCATTGCTCTCAGCAGTGAAAATGTTTTCTGACTCTTCCTTCCCCCCCTAACTTAAACCTAAAATAAATCAGGTCTTTGTATTGCTGTATTGCTCAAAAAACCAATCTTTTCAAATTAAATGGAAAGAATGTTTATCTTTTTTTTTTTCCATTTAAACTGACTTCAAGACTCTTCTCCATTTCACATTTTTAGTTATTTCTCCCCTTCATCTGTATTCCTCACTATACACCATTTCTTCCTATTTTCCTTATTCCAGTCATTTCCATCTAGTATCCTGCTAGTATCCAATCTAGTATCCAATGTTACTATTGCCTGAAGAGAATAACTTTGGCAGGATATATAACTGTAGCAACAGAGCATAAATGCCACTGGATGTCTGCCTTGACTAAAGCCAAACAGGGAGCACAGACACGGCCTGACATTCCCTTAGTTTACTGATAAGGGAAAAGCTGGGCTTAGTGGGTGAGGACAGGAATGTAGTTAGGTTAAGATGCTTAACACTGCCCCTGTAACCCACAGTTCCATGTCTGTGTTTCCTCCAGACAGCGCAGTGTAATTCTTTTGCCAGAAATTAGTGTATTACACATGGATAGAAGGTAAATGGGATTTAAGAATATGACGATGTGTGTACATGTTCTCTAAAAGATTAAAGGGTGCAGCTGAAGGCTGAATATAAATACATGAAATGGAATATAAAAAAACCCCTGCCATTCTGTGTTTGCATGTTCCTAATGGGCGAGGTTAATGCAGACACCTGAACGGCCGATCGTGTTTCACTCCCTTTGCTGCCGGTGCACCAACACCTAAAACGCTGCAGAGGACCTCTTGTGCCATCTCCTGGTTACTCCGAGGCTTCACAGCCAGAAAGCTGCTACAGAAAGGAAGGGAAGTAGCAGAAGTTTAGCTGAGGCAGTGATATAATCAGGGAATCATTCAGCTTGGAAAAAAACTCTGAGACCATCGAGTCCAGCCCTTGATCCAAGTTCATCACTAAACCATGTCCCTGAGTGCCACATGTACACAGGAACACTCCTGGGATGGTCACTCAGTTCTTGGCAGCTAAAACAACTCACCCAGCATGACAGGCTCTGCCTCTAACCCTCTGCTGCTGCTTTTAGCATCAAGTCATTTTCCACTGCATTAGCATAAGTATAGAATGGAAATTGAGCCTCCCTCTATAACATCTTTGGCATCAGTTCTAGCAACTCATGCCACAGCATCACCTATTTTTGGTGTTTATCAGTGGAAGAATGCAAATAAACCCCTGAAAATTGAAGTGACTGGAATACAATTAAATTACTAATCAAATCAATATAATTCCCTGATTGCAGCAAGTATCTGAATTAGTGTCCAATTTACTTTCCTGAAGATCCCTACCGAGTCCCTCTCCCTTCACAGGAACAAGAAGGCCTGTGCACTTATGACAGAGTTTTATCTCACTTGCTCTTAAAAATGCACAGGAAAGCAGATCCTAGAGGTGTGTTACAGATGAGGAATCTATTCCAGTGCTTCACAGAAAGCTTTTCACGTAAAAAAATTGAAACAAAACCCACCTTGTTTCAAAATCAAGTGCTTAAGCTTCACAGTACACAAAAAAACCCCTCACCCTGCAGCTACTACAGTTTTTTACAGCAACATTTCACATTCACAGGTCTGCTCAATCCAATCTTGTCTATGCAAGTCCACTTCTTTCAGTCTTTCTCACTTTATGTTTCAAAACATATACTTATTGTGGTCCTCTGCTCTCATTTTGGGTGTATGCATCCTAGCTGCAGTGTCTAAATGGTAAAGTATTCCTGCTGATGCTTCTCCATTGCCAAACAGCAAAATAATTACCTTGTGTCTTGTGCAGCTCTCATGCAGTAACACCTCAGGTCTTCTCCTCTCACCTTCTTTTCTTTTTGCAAACTGTACACATGGATTCATATTCAGCTTGTGATCTATTACAGTCCCCAGAGATTTTTACTGAAGCTCTGCAGTCATTTTTCATTTAACATTTATCCTTCAAAACCATAAGACTTGAAGCTGAAACCTCAACTGTTACCATGCTTATTGTGAGTTCTAAGCTTGTGTAAGTGTGCTTTTCCAAGTAAAATTCACAGACATGACTACACATTCCATACAGTGTAGGCTGTGAGAAGACTGCCTTATGGTAATCCTGGAGAGTTTGCCTCCCTCACTGGAGTCTGCAGAGTCCCAAGCAGGTCTTATCTTGTTGTTACTGTGACTGTGATAGTTCCCTTCTTCCCAGCGGGTGTGCTGAGAACAGAGCATGTTCTACCTCATTACTGCAAGCCAGAACAGTTTGCTTCCCCCATCTGCACGGGTGCCAAGGTGAAGGCCATCGGCAGATCTTGGAATTCAAACAGCAGCACCTGCATTACATGGGGCAGCTAATGAGCAAAAGAGGACATTGCATATGTATGAAATGTTAATTAGCACAGATCTCTTTACTCACCCCCACAGCACTTTCCCTGGAGCTTCAATCCTGAGAGGGCTCCAGTGCATTGGGTCCTCATTTGATTGATGCTCCAGGATTCCCTGGGAATGCTACACTTCTGATAAAGCCACAATTCTCTCATTTTATGTTTTCTCCCTGAGAGATCTGCACCTGCTTTTCACTCATAACATCTGGATAGTCCTAACCCCACTCAATTCAGTTTCACAATCTAACAAACATGTTAATTACCCTTTGAAACGATGCATTAACTAGTTGTGTATTCACCTTAGAGGTGCATCATCTGAATCTGAGTGACCAAATATATAATCAGGCCAGGAGGATCTGTTGCCAAGGCATTTATTGACTTCAACATACAACATTCTGTTTTTATCTCTTGGGACAGTTTCCATTAGGTCATTTAAAAATTACTTAATGGACAAAAACATGTCAGCCTTTTAAATTAGTCTCTATGCTTGCCGACTTTCGGACAGCTTTTCCAGTAACTCTTCTCGTGCCAAAGCTTTCCTGGCTGATTCTCTGTCATTCTCTTTACTTTGTGTTTCCACTCATTCCTGTGGATTTGCCCATTTTTAAAAACTAGTATTATTTTCTGGGAACTCACTCATTCTTCCTCCATCAAAAATACAGTAATTCCAATATTATTTCAGTTTTCCTCATTAT